TGCAATGTTTGTCTTTCTGTGCCTGGTTTATTTCACTTAAAATCTTCCAAGTTCCTTCATACTGTCACAAATGACAGAATTTCACTTTTTATGGCTGAATAGTATTCCATTGTGTACAAGTGCCACATTTCCTTTGTCCATTAGCCATTGATGAACACTTCCTTAGGTTAATCCATATGTCACCAATTGTGAATAGTGCTGCAACTCACATGAGAGTAAAGATATCTCTTCACTGTATTGATTTCATTTCCTCTGGGTATGTACCCAGTAGCAGGATTGCTGGATCATATGGCATATTACCACCTACAGTTTACAAGGGTTCCCTTTTCTCCATGTCCTTGTCAACATTTATTGTCTTTTGTCTTTTTGATAATAGTCATTCCAACAGGTGTGAGGTGAGATCTCATTGTGGCTTTAATTTGCAATTTCCTGATGATTAGTGATGTTGATCCTTTTTTTCATATACCTGTTTGGCCATTTATATCTCTTCTTTTGAAAAATGTCTATTCAGATCTTTTGCCTATTTTTTTAATCTGGTTATTTGTTTTCTTACTACTGAGTTTGAATTTTTTATTAATATATATTTTGGGTATTAACCCCTTATCAGATGTAGGATTGGAAAATATTTTCTCCCATTTAGTAGGTTGTACAGAAACTTTTTGGTTTGATGTAATCCATTTGTCTATTTTTGCCTTGTTGTCTATACTTTTAGGGTTATATCCAAAAACTCATTGCCCAGACCAATGTCATGGAAATTTTTACCTACGTTTTGTTTTAGTAGTTTTACAGTTTCAGGTCTTACGTTTAAGGATTCAATCCATTTTGAGTTGGTTTTTCTATGTGGTATGAGATAATGGTCTAATTTTACTCTTCTGAATGTGGATATCCAGTTTTCTCAACATTATCTATTGAGGAGGCTGTCATTTCTCCGTTGTGTGTACTTGGCATCTTTGTTGAAAATCAATTGATCTTAAATGTGTGATATTAAACTTTTTTTTTATTCACAGGAAATCAGATATTGATGTAGCCACATAAGTTCCCTTTTCATTGGTAACAGTCTAATATCACTTTTTCCTCTTTTGACTTTTCTGTGTCATTATGTTTTAGGTATCTCTTTTAAAAACAGAATGTACCAAGATTCTTAAAATCCAATTTGATAGACTTTGATAGTCTTTATCTTTTAAAAAATTACAGTCTGATTTCATTATGCTATGACTTTCAGTTCACACAACAGTTAAAATGAGCAAACAACAATAGTACCCATATATAAACTAATATTATATTGTTGCTACCTTTAATGTCTAAACGTAAGGGAACAAAACATGACTTTGATATCTGCAATAATCAGCTGTCTTACGATGGAAGATGCATTAAACAAACACACAAGTGTGTGTATATATATAAATACACACATATATATTTTAATATACATGAATCTCAAAAGTCAAAGTGGGCTTTTAACTAAAAATAGCTGTAGGTAACTTACAGTGATGCCTGGCATTGGTAGTGACATATTGATAGTGTCATTCACTGTGTCTGAATTTTTTACTGTCACAGACTGTAAAAAAGAAATGAGAAAAATTGCTATAAATTATGGATTTTAAAGCATATGATTATATAATTGTTGTCAAATTATTATCCATATTCTAAAGGCAAAACTTGTTCCATGTAGTGACAAAGTAAAACACATGTAGAACACAAATCCTGAATTGTAAATTCTTTCCATTCCCTTATATCAGTGGTCTCTAACTCCGGTGGCCTGTAGGAACCAGGCCACGCCACCACATCTGCACCCCCACCATGGGTGGAAAAATTGTCTTCCATGAAACTTAGGAACCAGCCACACAGCAGGAGGTGAGCTAGGAATCCAGCTGCACTCTAGAGCTGAGCATGGGAGGGAAGCTTGATCTGTTTTCCTAGCCACTCCCCATCACACACATCACAGCCTGAGCCCTGCCCCCCCACCCCATGGAAATCCATGAAAATGGTCCCTGGTGCAAAAAAGATTGGGGACCAGTACTTTATGTAACATGAAGCCAGCAGAAAGAATTTCAGTAAAACATGAATTTCTCTTACAATAAGGCATCTGTGGCACTCAAATTATAACAGCTCAGGTAAGAAGGAGAAAGAGAATCCAGCGAGGGCGCAGAGCTGGTCCTCGGCATCATGAGGCCATTTTCAGAATGGAGGGGCAAGTTTAAAGAGGAGAAGTTGGCCCCATTCCCCCTCCTCCTAAGCTGTGTTTTTCTTTATTCCTTTGCACATCACACATTCAGTTCTAGTAACATCAGAGTAAGAACTGGCTATAAAAGACATTTTTAGACCACTATGCAGCTCATACTTTCTCTGTGTCAGTCATCACGGTTACTGAGATTTTCTCTGGTGAAATCTATTGAGATTATTAAATAAAAACCAATGAATCTAGCAGTCAAGACTGAAAATTTTAGAAATTTCAGTTCCATTCCCGGCTCTGCCAGGAAGCAAGGCATCTAAAATAACTGTCTACTGCACCTCCCAGTGAGAGACTGCTCCATAAAAATGGGAAGACAATTTGTAGAAAATGTAAGAATTAACAGGATTCTGAGGTAATATCTAGAACTCCCTGAATTTCAGAAGACTATTTTAAAATAAGACAATATGCAATGGAAACCATTTACTGTGCATATAGGTCTTATATCTGATGAGTCCACAATGAGGGTTGTGTGCTCTGATAAACAGTCCTAAAGAGGACAAAGAAACAGCATCAGTGGACACCCACAGGCCTTATGTATGACATTAAAAATGAAGTTAACGGAAACCCCTGCATAACTCATTACTTTCCCTTTCATTGTATTTTTCTTTCTTACGGGCTAACTGCTTGAAATGACAGATGGCCCAAAAGGTTTTAATTGGGTTTTTGTAAAGAAAGCCATCTTAAATTAATTGATTTCAAATTGTGCTACTTGTAGCCCTAAGGATTGTGAAAAAGAACCCAGCAGCAGGGCTCAGAGCATCCAAACTTATGGTTGTCAGTGGCTTCTACGGGCAGTTCTGGGAGGGGAGGAACACTGGGCTTTAGCTTGGGATTTAGTTGGAAGCAAAAGCTCTACTATTTTTAAGATGCCTGAAAGTCTTCCCACATAATTAACAAACTGTACCATGAAATCTCTTGTAAAGTAAGAAGTCATCATTTCACAAGGGTGAAATGATAATAATCATTCCCTAATTTATGTGGGTTGTGGGATAATGGGTTGTCATGGCATAAGGAATATATTAATACCAAGTTCAAAATCATAATTACAAGGAAACATATATTTCTTCGTAATGCTGTTCTCCTTGTAGACAAGCATAAGTTCCAAAAGATACAGCTCCTTGTAAACAAATAACTTTAAAAAAATAATTTTTCAAAACATGGAGATAACTATTTTTTCCATATCAGTGTTACTTGATATATGAAGAACCAGGAAAAGGTGACCAGTTCTCAGGAGCTGAGGCCAATCTGAAGATGATCTACACATTCAAATGATGAGACAAAAAGCAGCTGTTATAGTTCTGCTCAGTGACACAAAGAAAACAAGCTCAAAAAGCACAAATATATGGGCAATCTCAGCATAGAAATAGAAAATAGTTAAAAATGGAAATTTTAGATCTGAAAAATATCTGAAAGAAAAAAATTACTGGATGGGCGAAATAGCATAATTGAGATGACAAATGAAAGGGTCAGTGAATTAGAAAATAGGTCACTAGAAAGCGCCTGGTCTGAAGGAGGAAAAAAAAAGGGTTGAAAATAATTAACAGAGCCTGAGGGGCCTGTGCACAATATGAAAAGGTTTAATAACTGCATGTTCTCAGTCACATGCAAAAGCTATGGAAAGTTGATCTCAGAGAAGTAAAAAGTAGAACAAAGGTTACTGGAAGCTGACAAGGATATGGGGAAGGGGAGGTAGGGAGAGATTTGTTAAAGGACATACAATTACAGCTACTTAGGAGAGTAAGTTCTAGTGTTTTATAGCACTGTTGGATGACCATAGCTAAAAATACTATGTATTTCCAAATAGCTAGAAGAGAGGATATTGAATGTTCTCAAAGATGTATGCTTGAGACGATGGATATGCTAATTACTCTGATCTGATCACTATACATTGTATGTATCAAAAAATCCCATTTCCCTAATGTTCTAAACCGATCTATGCACTTCTTTAAGAAGTGCATTTGTGTTTCCATTGAATCGCATCGTATTTCCTCTACCTAAGCCACTATGCTTACACTCCGCAAGGAAGACTCAGATAAAATCTAATAGTTTTTACTCACCAAGCATTTAAAATCCAGTAAAAAAAAAAAAACAAAATGAAAAAAACAAACACAAGACAATTTATAGCCCAACATATATAAAACAGAATAACATGGAGATTTGTGAAGAAATAAGTACAACTGGGTTTCGCATTAGCATGAAAATTTAGATAACTGATGAGTTTGGAAAATTGACTCCTACCTTACGTAAATCAATATTAAATTTGAGGAAAAATTTGCTAAAGACACCAAATAATATTGGAAACATCAAAAAGTTTCCAATCAAAAAGAAGCACTTAGGTATCATTTGGTTGAGCTATAACCAAGCTCCAACAGGACCCTGTGGTCATATTAGGTGAAACCAACTAGTTTGAATACAACATAAAAACTCTCAGAAATAGGCAGACATTTCCACAGATGTACAGAAAACTGTCTCCCACAGAGCCAAGAAAGTGTTTCCCCTGAGAACACTAAACCTGCTCTCCTGAGCTCAGCAGCACTAAACCTTATAAATATGAGCAGCTTTTCATGAAGCCAGTGCTGAAGTTAAGAATTAGTTCCTATGTTTTAGAGGAAACAAGATAGAACACATCTTGGGACCACTAGTCTGTTCTGATGACCAAAAACAGTATATTAAAAGACTACCTTGTGCTGTGAGGGCTTGAATACCCACCAAAAAGCTTGGAGTGCTTTTTGATTGCTGTGAACATCCTTTTTTCTTCAATTCTCAGCACCAAAACTGGTCACGTCTACAGCAGTTGGCAGAGCACTGCAGTCAAATCCCTGAAGCCTGAGGACTCCTCAGTAGTCAGGGCCACTGACCGGTATGATGTCACGGTTCTGAGGCTCATGCCATAACTGACAAACTGACATACCGGCTTTCTTGATTTTGCTACCTTCTTGTAACCTTTTAATTAATCTTTTTCATTTTTTGATAAATGATAAATTTATAAATGATGATAAATCTTTTTCATTTTTTGACAATTATAGATTCACATGCAGAGAGTAGAAGGGGAGCGTCAGGGGCTGTGGGTAGGAGGAGATGGAGAGTTACTATTCAACAGGTATAATGGTTCAGTTCTGCAAGATGATTAAGGTCTAGGGATCTGCTGGACAACATTGTGCCTATAGTTAATCTATTGTACACCTAAAAATTTGTGAAGAGGGTAGATCTTATGTTGAGTGTTCTTATCACAATAAAAAAGAATCACTCTCTGTCAGCTACTATTTTTTTGTGTGCTGGTTTCTTGTTTAATAAAACTTGTATATTATATTTCACTTGAATATGGAATTTTAAATCCTCTTATTTAACCTTGATTCAAATCTTACCTTTATCTTATAAAATTAAGACACATTTGTGAAAATATTATTTCAAATTATCTGCTAGTACCTTTCTTTCCCTTCTTTCATCTCCTATAGGAATCACTCAATCTTTATGCAAAGATATTTTGATGATATAGATTTTACAGAACACCATATTATGTCATTTGTATTGCATAATTTATTTTAGTGTTTTTATACATCGAAATACAGTATTATTGTGAGGTTTCTCTAGTAATGTGCTTGCTATTTGTGAATAGACATACATAAATGAAGTAATTGCCTTACAACGTGTAATTGGGCTGACTTATTTATTTGTATGTGGGGATTTATATGGTGATTTTTCTCTAAAGAGCAATTGAAGTAATTTTTTAAGATGGTAACCATAAAAATTTCAATGTGAGGACTAGGGAGAAGGTTTTAATTAATGAGAGGGCTGATAAATTTTCCTGGTGATGATAATTCTGACGTTAAATTTCTTGTGAGGACAATGAGAGAAAAGAAAGGAGGATGCTTTTATAAAGTCATGGTTATTATTACTCAAGGCAATGAGCTGTTAGTACAAGCTTAATTATGACCTCTGTTCGTCTTCCTGATACTTAATAATGCCCCAGATGCACTTTTCCGGCTCTGTCGCTTGCTTTGTAGGGAGAGTGAGCATTCCTGCCAAACGTGTGGCTGTCCTCCCTGTCCAGAGGAGATAGATGGTTTACCCACATCTAGCCCCAGGCAAGCTCCAGCTCATTTTCTTCTCAAAATATCTTGCTCCCTGGGACAGGTTCTACCAGAAATTAGACTGGAAATGTGCTTGTTTACTCACCTCATCCTAGGTCAGAAGAAACAGGAAAAAAGTGCTTTATCTCTGATTGTTCTTACAATAAGCAATTGAGATTTGTCAGATGACAAAATAATTTTAAAAGGAAACAGTTGTTTGACACGGACTTTCTAGAAGCTTCACTAGTTCTATGAACTAATGAAATGATTACGTCCTGCACAGATACAGCAAAGGAACACAACTCGTTCTAGTGCTGCTCTGAAACTGACAGTCCCTTGAATGTCTTTCGCTTACGTTTCAGAGCAGGTGAGCGCAAGTTGAAGAAAGAATTGTAGTTTTTAAAAAGATAAACAGAGATCGAGTGATTATAAGAAATATTTTGATTCTTATAAATGGAAAGCTGTAAATTAATCATTTAAAAATTCTAAACTGTCATCGAGTGATTATAAGAAATATTTTGATTCTTATAAATGGAAAGCTGTAAATTAATCATTTAAAAATTCTAAACTGTCTTTCATTAAGAAGAATATAATTTGCCAGTTTTCAAAGAGGAAAAGTTAATATTAAGTTTCAAATTTTCTTACCAGTTGAATCAACCTTCAGCTATGTCGTGTGCTCACCATCATTTTATTCTGGGTTATGAGAGGAAAATTTAGACCACAGTTGAGGTAAAACAACAGACTTACAATTTTTTGTTGTTGTTGTTAACTATTCTTTTGATGCGTAACTTTAAAACTCAAGGATTAGTTTTCAGTATTATACTAACAAATATGGCCTAGGTAACATATGCAATTATTTTTGTCTTTCAGAGTAAAAGTTCTTTGTTCTTCAGCAGTTACACACACACATACACACACACACACACGCACACACACCAGCATCTACAACTTGAAAATTGAGCTTCTGCCAGGCCCCTGTGCCATCTGTCCAAGAAAGAAATCAGTAACTTGATCAGCTTTTTCATATAGAATGACCATCTGCAGTCCTGGTAACTGCATTTAAGCTCTGAGCTCCCTGTAGGAAACTGGTCCAAATGTTTTCTCAGGTTGCCCAGTGCTTTATGTTTTCAACTACTTTAAAACTAAATAAAAGAGAAACTTTGATTCTATTGAGAGAAATTTCCTTTCAAGCAGAGAATGATCCAAGTAAGCACTTATGAAGATTATATCTGGTTGTACAATCTGACATTGTGCGTTTCTGGAAAAATATGAGATTAGTTGAAGATATCACCCAGTAAACAAGGATTATAGAGTTATGTTGTACAAATATAGAAACTGATTTTGACACATTCATAGAATTTATATATTTTTTGATATAATATTAAATAATTTTAGTAATTCAGAATTATCATAAATTAAAATGGTTACTTTCAGTAAATTTAATCGCCAGAACTGAAAACAAGGCTGTCCTTGTTTAAATGGAGCTTTATTAACACATAAGCAGAATGTGCTAGAGTGAAAAACTTTAGAGGATAATTTCATGAAGAGTCACATGGCAAAATCATTTTCTACAAATTGTGGAAAGAACTATTTTCAACAAAAGCATCATTTTACATTCCCATCAAGATGCACAATGTCTCCACATCCTTATAGCAACACTTGTTATTTCCGTTTTATGGATTTTAGCCATCCTAGTAGGTGTGAAATGGAGACCCCTTTTTACATTAATTTCTTGGCTTGGGGTTCCTGGACCTTACAGATAGTTCATACTCAAAATCCAAACTTGTGTGAGACCCAATCCATGCAAATAAATCTCGGAGCATATGCCTACCCCAACAAGCTTCCTATTATTTTATCGTCCCACTGGGCAGATTTTTCTTAGCCACGATAGACTTCTAAAGTCCCAGATATATGAAGTGTTACGATTTGATATCTCCACTATAGCAGCCCTTCTATCTGTATGGCCATTAAAACACAAAGTGCCCCCGGCTTCTCCCTTACCCCCCAAAAACTTAGGCGACAGATTTCCCACTAGGCATTCAACTGCCCAACCTCCACCCTACAAATCTATTCCACACGCCCCCTTCATCTGTGACCCATGAGAATTTTCTTGGTTGCAATTTCAGCTACACTGTCAAAATATGGTGGGGTTTTTTTGAGGGAAGGGAGGGTTATTCGAAGGATTTTCAGATTACCCAATTCATCCATTGTCAAATTATCCTCCAAAAAATTATTCTTAATATTCTGGCTTCTGTTTTAGAAACCAATTATACTATATGACTGGCAAATAAGAAATCTAGGTATGACTCTACTTGTTCACCTTTTAAATATGTGTTCAACTCTTTGATCAAAATATTTACAGGTCCTTAGAGAAGTAGGTAGGAAATTATCTCATGATAAAAATTTGAATTATTGATATATTGTGATTTTCTTAGAATCAGTTTTGTAGAACAGTTTCCAAAATAGTCTAACATTGTAATTATAAAAATGATTGTTTCAAAATCAAGTTAGTAAAATATTGCATTAAACTTGATTAAACAGTTTTCTTCACTGCAGGACCTACGTGTAATCTATGTATACGCTGGACATCTATGAAAGCATTTTTCAAATTTATCTTCTTGGAGCGCCATGTGGTACCAAATATTCAGAGACACACACAACTTCTGGAAATCTTGACATCCATATTTAAAGATCAAACTTCCAATTTTCCATCAAGGTATAAAAATCTTGGTAGCTACAATATTATGAGTTTTTTTAAAAAACTAAACTTTAATTACTTTTTTATTCTTATAACAATCTTTTATACTTATTTTTATATATCAATAATTATAATAAAATATAAAATTGGAATACCTATATACTTTAGTATGTACAATGTGAGTATGTGAAAGGAATTAGAGATTTCACTACAGAAGGGGAAAGACACATTTAAGAAATAAGTTTTCCTTAGCAACAGAGTCATATTTGTTCCATAGTGATTATACCAAAATAACTTATCTGAAAGCCCTGGACACTTTAAATTAATGAAAAAATTGAAGAGAACATTAAAGTCTCATTACCCTAGATGGTGATTTATGGATTAGGTTTAATAGCCTAAATATTCTCCCATCTACTTAGAAATATATCTTCAGAGGTTTAAAATTAATTTTAATAATTCCAGTTTTAAATGCAGTTTTCCACATGTAGAACTTACTAAAAGAGTTTGCAACTCTTCTGTGGGAAAAATCCTTAAGGTTTAACATGACTGAAATCTCATGAATATAAAAACAAAGAGACCATTAAAATATATGTAAATATCAAAGGAATGGAAATTACTTCATTAAAAAAATCATACTGTCACTATTTGTTAAAGGGCTAATTTTCCAGTTTGTTGAAAATGATGGTTCTTAGATTTTTCTCCTGACTTGTTTCTACTAAATAGTTGCATCCTTGTTAATTAACAATAGTATCCAAATGTGGACAAAACAAAATTTTTTTAAATCACAAAATATTTGAGTAAGAAAAGCCCTCAGAGGGAATCTATTGAAGCTACTTATTTACAAATGCAGAGACAGGTGAGGTAAAAGATTAATCCAAGATAACAGCCACTTAGTGATTTTATCTCCTCTTTGACAGTTTCAATCCCATTATCCAGAGCAATTGTTTTTTAATATCCTTTATAGTACTGCTGAAGATTTTCAGTGATAGAGGAGAGGTAGATAGGTCACAAATTTCCCTCAAAATATTTATTTGTGTGTTTGTACACACGTGTGTGTGTATACCACTGACCCTCCAAAATTTCAAATCTAAAACAACATGAATATCGGGCATTGTGCTATATGTCT